CAACACAATGAGAGACTGGAGGTGAATCCGAGATCAGATACAGCGCAGAGATATGCGATGGACTTGATGCCTACCGCGAGGAAGAACTCCGCCTTGAATAGTACACATCAGCCACGACTCAAACGTGACGAAGCAGTCGTCATAGCTCACGATGAACGGGCTATCATAGAGTAAGTGAACGTCCCCATCTCAACGAGTGTGCTACCTTACTTCGTGAATTGCGTGAACGCATTGAGATTTGCATGATTCGTAACAAGAAGATCCCAAATAAACTAAAAGATGCGCGTCAGCAGACTGAGGCCAGGACCCGGAGTACGGACAGACGATCGAGCAACATACTTGCAGATCACAGCACGTTCTCGCTGTATCGAGAAACCTGACCGATGTTCGGCGATCAATACCACAGAAAGACCTCTTAGAGTTGCGGTCATACCACACGAAGGCCACCTGCATCGATGCTATCAATGAGACGCACTGGTATACGAGAGCGAGAACCACTTCAACACACCAGGATTTGTATATGGAGACGGTCAGAAGGATATTCGTGGAAGTAGTACTGAGTCTGTGCCAAGGAGAGCCCATACAAGCTACGTGATTCCGACTAACACATCAGTATTCGTGACAGCACCGGCCGCATATAGCTAGTCATTGACGTACATAGTCTCAAACAGTATCCCGATGAATATGCACCCCACGGTGTCGTTCAGATGGAGATCGAGGCCGGAGTCTGCCATGGGGATGTCGGCGCGGGGGAAACGGTACGGCAGATATGAAACCGCACATCGCGGGTACGAAGCTTTAGATGTATGAGTAACGCGAGGAAGCACACGAAGCCCCACTTGTCGAAGGCGTCTTTGAGCGTCGGACGGAAGCCCTACTCGGGGTAGAGACGGACGAGTCCGCGGACCAATCTCGGTCTCTTGTGTCACTGTGCTGCCACAAATGAGTTGATCACAGATGAGTGAATGCTCAAGAATTGCGAGCCGTTCTGTGGCCATACCGCGCGTAGAAGTCCGATGATACGGATAGAGAACAGGGACGTCGGTGGCCAGTGGCGGAGGGGTGGCGTTAGCGGCAGGATGCGCCACTGGCAGCGATCGGACCGCCGAGCACCGACTCCTTCGTTGTATACAGGAGAAAACGGTCTGTAGACACGGCGCGTGCGTAGCCTTGATGGAGAACCAATAGCAGCTATTTGCACGATATAAGAGCCAGACACCCCGGCGCGATCGTCGGTTCACTTGGGGACAAGTGCCACAAAAGCAACTGTGGCGGTCGCAGGCCAGCGAACATGCAGAGGTTGGAGGGTTGGCACTCCAACTATGTAACCATCGCCCGCGGATGAAGATAGCTAGAAACCGATCCAATGTCAGTTCCATCGTAGAGTTTCTCGCCCCGCTCTACAACATACGCAGCACAGCCAGGCGCTGGAGCAGTGGTATATGAACAAAGTGGATATTCCGCGACACCGAAGCGTGAGGCTGGCTCAAGTCCGAAGGCAGCATGTCTCTTGAATTAGGCAGGGTTCTCCCCACGGCCTCAACCACTACGGGTCGGTACATTAGCAATCAGCCGCGTCTACGAAGCATCAAGTCGAGATCGTACCGTGTCATTCGATACAACTAGGGTTATTTTCCGTCTCCCAGTTCACCGGCAAGTCAGTCGAGGTAGATATGCTTCTGTAATAGTAGTCCAAGATCCTATGACTGGCGCAGACTCGACTCGCACGAGGCGCCATCGGATCCGCGGGGAACACCCGAAGACTAGAATCGTCGTGAAGTGAATCAAAGGTACAAATACAGGCTTGCAAGCCCGGCAGATCGTGGGATCGCATTATAACTAGTCTCCCACAGGCAGACCTAACCAGGGCCTCGGTTGAGCGGAGGAGGGTGATCGTGTATGGACGTGGTGATACCTGTGAGCGGACTATCATGATGTTGTCTTCAGCATTGCTTGTTATGATAATGCGAAGTGACGACATACCTTCTGATATATCTCAAGCAATTATATGAAGGCCATGATTTTCACAATACTAGATAAGTCCCGACGTGCTGGTCAGGACTGCGAAAGAGGTGAGGCGACAGTGCCGCGTGCAGCGGCGTTTTTGGCCAGACGGTCGGCGATAGCATTGAATTCGCGCGGTACGTGCCAGAAACCGATACGGACGTTGCGCCTAAGTTCTAGAGCAGTGATCCATTCGTCGAGCTTGAGGAAAAGGTCAAGATTGGCGGGTGTGCGGCCGTCGCTTGTGCGCATCCCGTTACGCTGGAAGTGAGATGCATTGACCATGTGGAGGTGCTCGATGTACTGAGAACTGCACCTTCCATATATTCGGCAGCCATTCCGCCATACCATTCACCACGTAAATCGAGTCCGTGGTAACGATCCATTCGCTGGGAGGCTCCTCGGGATTGTCTCCAGACCTGTTGTGTCGGTTGTACAAGCGTTCGTGAGGGTCATCGGGTGGTTCCACGTCGTCGATCTTGATGAGTCCCACCAAGGCAGCCAGCAGCTCCGCGCGTTGGCTAGACCGCTTCGCAAATGCATCGAGACTGTCGTCCACGGAAATGGACCACTGCTGGTCGTCCTCGAGTCCGACAGCGATGCCCAAACCCGCAGTCGCGACTGGTCTGCCGTTGGAGAGGCATGAGCCATCTGTGAATACCAGTCGGTAGTGATGGCAGTCGAGGGCTCTGTCGGAGGAGCGGTCCCTGCAGCAGAGGGCGATGAATCGGGAACAGTCACGGCAAGACTTGATCAGGTCCTCGGTGCTGTAGCTGCTGAGGAGCTCGCAAAGGTGGTACTTTCGATTGAAGATATGCTGAGAGCCAGCGTCGGGGTCGTGTGTTGAGGCCATGGCAGGTACTTGGTGAAAGAACTTGTGTGAGAGAGAAAATGGAGTCGACGAATATGATCGCGAGATGACTAGGACTCAGATGAGATCGGGAAACGTTCATGCTGGCAGCACACCTCCTACTAGCCTTTTACGGAAGGTAAGTAGCAAGGTATTCCATTATGTGTGTAACAATTACGACGCGTTATGACCTGCCGCCGACGACTGTCGGCATACACATATACATCCGTAACGCGATTATGACACACCATGCTAAGCTGACGGATATTGCCCCGACGATACAAGCTTTAATCGCAGCGGTACGTGACTGGCACCGGCAACGCGCCTGTGTCGTTGAAAATGCTCCCCGGTCCGAACGCGGGCGATCCTCCAAGTGACCCAAATATATCCCCAACGAAGTTCTGCGGGGGAATCCCCGCCGCAAACGTATCGTTCCACCCATCGAGAATGCCCTGCACGACCTTGATGCCCGCCACATACAGGTTGCGAATGGCGGCATCGTACCCGCCGTCGGCGAAGAACAGGTTCTGCGCGACGGACACGCCGGGCGGAGGTCTGTCGAAGTCGGAGCCGGTGCGCATGTGGATGACGCGCGAGAAGTCGGTCCGTCGCGCGAGCTGCCCGCGGAGAAGCGCCTCGAGCACGGCGTTGTCTTCTTGCTGCGTCGTGCAGTACGTCGCCGAGCCGTTTGTAACCAGCGTTGTGAAGTTCTCGAATGCGCCCGCGAGCAGCGCGCCGCTCCACCAGTTGTCCGACGTCGCGGTGTCGCAGCCGATGACGGTTGGTCGGGCGAGCGCGGGCGCGAAGGCAGAGACGTTCGCGTACTGCGCTCTATACGCCTGGGCCGAAGCGGTATCGTTCAGCACCGCGGTTCTGGCGAAAGCAATGGCGAGCTGGCGCAGCTCGTCATTGAGTTGGAAGACCTCGGTGCCGTAGATGTACTCGGGGTACTGGGTGACGCTGGTGGAACCTTGTGGGATGTAGCCAGTGGTGAAGTTCTCAGGCTTCTCGCGAGCGTCGATCTCGTACTGCAACGCCACCTGCACGGCGAACTGAGCAAAGGTGACAGATCCTACTGTAGCAACCATGGGGTTGATTCCGGCATCCCCAGCCATGAGGAAGTAGGTCTGAGTGAGGTTGAACTCTGGCGAGAGCGTAAGGGCGAGCGTGCTCAGACCAGCGTTGATTTCTCCCTCGCCCGTGACCAGCTGACATACGGAACCATCCTTCGTGCAGTGAATGTCCGGATAGACCATGGACAACCCTGGCAGGGTGATGTTTTGCTCGAGAAGGTTGAACTCCGGAATGTCCAGCCAGGCGTCCTGTTCATCGTTGTACTGTGGTAGATCCGTGAGTAATAGATACTGAAATGAACTGCTCAGGGTTACGCACGTAGTCGACGATGAACACCTTGGGCGAGATTACAGCCTCGACGGCCGCTACAGCGCATACAGCTAGTATGGTCAGAAACACCTGGCTCGACGACCGCATTACGGGGGAGTCGGGGCAAACGGCGGTACTAGATAAGCACTGGCATCATCTGCTAACTTCGCTGCCACGAATAGCCTGAGAATTGTTGAATCATGATGCATGATGGCGAATGTGTTCACAGAGTGTCGTCCCTTGTGCTGTTCCGGGAGGCAGTTCAATGTGTTCGCATGCCACAGCATGTGTGCATGTGGATTTGCCCGTTGATTCGTCAAGACGCGGCGGGAGTTCCGCCGGTACGCGCAACGAGCGGGAACGGCTGAAGCGGGCGTAGCAGATGCGCTCGCGCTCGACAGGCGTCGGTGAGCAGAGCAGGTACGAGGGAGACTCGAGCACTGGTGGAGTTGAAATGTTGATGAAAGCCAGAGTAGAGTACTGAGTAAGTTACTAGAGTACTACGATAAAGTGCGGATACAGACTGGCGTCACTGGCCCTACGTTTCATTACGTAAGCATGTGGTGAGCGACTCAGGCTGGCAAGTTGCGATGGACTTCGAAAATTATAGACTACACTAGCCGATGCCCGTGCTCCGCTACAGGTATGCACTTTCGATTGCATATCTCTCAGTCAGATACATTATCTACGGCTTTGAGCGCATGGCAGGACGACTACTCAAAAATTGTGACTGTTCTATTCTATGTAACTTGCAAACATAGGCAACTTCTGTAAGAGACTGATAGTTGAAAGGCCACTCAGCCGTCTCCCTTCGGGAGTTGGCTTCGTGACCCTGTGCCGGGCCGTGAAATATGCATCTACAGTGGTACATTGGAGGAATGCTTACTTACCGACTGCGATGAAACTGGATGTCTCATCCTCACCTGTTTACTGGCTCAGGTTACTTTCGGGTGGTACTACTTGAATGTATCTGCCTTCGACCCCTGTCTCTCCGCACCACAGTAAGGGAGAGATGTCATTGATCAACAGCGGAACTTGGAAGACATTCAGATGTGCAGCGCACCTATGCCCATGGCTCCCGAGTGGCCACTCTCCGACTCCGACTCGTGGGCGTTATGCTTGCATCCTCGGCGTTGCCGCACGCCGTACCTGACATTCGCTCGTCCTTACTCGTCCTCGCGCCTCTCATCCCCTCATCCTCACCCATCTCTGCCAGCCATTCGCCCTTCCCTGCCTACTCGTTCCCGTCCGCGCCCGCTGTCTGCTGACCCTCCCTGTTCATAGCTGAGCCCGCGCCCGTGGTCCGCTCGTCGGCTGCACTTCACGCGGGGGCTTTGCCCTGCATGCTCGCTGAAGCTGAAAATTCGCCCTCGCCCTCGCTGTGCGTGTCGTGGCTCAATTGTGTACCCGCTCGGGGCCTGCCTACGTGCGCGATCGGAGGCCGTGTCTGCGTGCAGTGAATGTTCGCTCAGTGCGCTCGCGGTCGACGTATACGCTGTCACCTACTCGCTCGCTCGCTCGCCCTCCTGCTCTCCATGTACTCGCTTGCTTACCCGTCCGATTGCCCCTCCACGCCTGCTCACCTGTCCGCCGGCTCGCCCACCTGCCCGTTTGCTCTGCACGCGTTCGTCGGCCATGTCTGTGTGCCGGGCATTCGCCTGGCGCGCTCGCGGTCGGCGTGCGCGTCACGCTTCATGTCGCCACGGCGACTGCGCCCGGCGCCTGCCCATTCTGTCTCTACGACTCCTTCGGCCACTGTGCACCCGCCATCCGTTCGTCGGCCGTGTCTACGTGCTGGGCATTTGCTCAGCCGCCTCACGGTCGGCGTGTGCCTCTCGCTGGCCTGCTCGTCCGCCCGCCGCTTATTCATCAGCCATGCCTGCATGCTTGTGATCGTCATGCGTCGGGCTGCACGTCGCAGCGTCCTGTGCCTGCAGTTAGCCCGCTCGCTCGCGTGTGTCTGCACTCACCGTGACGGTGGTCGTCTCCATCGCTTCGCTCGGTGCACTCCTGTCACTCGTTGTCTGCACCTTACCGCTGCCCTGCTGATCCGCGCCCTCCGATGCCAGAGTGAGAAATGAGCACGAGGGTCGCGCGCGAGTCTAAGGAATAATGAGGAGGAGGAGGGATGAAGTACAGTCACGGTATCATAGCTCGGAGCGCTTGAGAGGCTCGGGCAGCGCTCGGGCGTCCGTCTCTCAGCCAATGAGAATGTCTCTAGCGTTTGTCTCTTGCTTCTTGTCTCGTCTTCTTGTCTCCAATGTTTGTCTCAGCGTTTGTCTCGCGTTCCCACGTTCACGCCTCTTGTAGAGTAGACTAGCCGAAGCCCGTGCTACGCTACGGTAGCGGTGTGCACTCGCAAATACAGTTGTACTGTACATACATACCGTATGAGTCCGCAGAGACACGGAACTGCAACTCGAGTTGCTTGCTGAGTCAGAAGGTCAAGAAGCCGATTCCCGTATGGAGGCGGCTGAGTGGCCAGATTCATGGATTGCTCTGTATACATGTAATTACCTAGTGCTCATAGGGCCTTGCGTGGCAGCTATGTAGCCCAGTTCATGCACAATGATTCCTTGCCGCTCGACGGCGTCTCATTACCGCGATGCGCCCATCCTCGTCCTCGTCATCCTCTGCATTAAACTCTTCGAACTCCTCCTCAGTGTCCTCCGCATATCCCAGTACCTCCTCCCGCCTCAGCGGCATACTCATTCAGCAGCACAACGCTCCTCGGCGAGAACACATCACCACTCCGAATGAAGTCCGTTCGCCGCCGCCGCCGCTTGTTCCATCGCGAGGCTGAACATACTGGCAGGATCCGAGAACATCGCCGGGTCGAAGACACCGTCTTTGGGTACATGTGTCGGAAAAAGTGCATCTGACATGTAAGTCCTAGCGAAGCCTTACAGTCGTGTCAAGGCTTATAAGGCACTGCGGGGGATCTGGTAAGTCGTGATCAGGCTGTGATCAGGCAGCGTAATCACGGTTGTGTTCATATCATCACTTCCCCACAGGATCCACCCAAGGCGGCTCGTCTGCCTGACTATCCCCGCCACAGTTGGAGCTTTGAACGTGACGATCCGCAGGCTGCACAGAATGCAAAAATTTGTCTATGGCCCCCAATCCGCCCATGTGTATTACATGCGTGTGCCACGGCGCGACGCGACGCTTGACTTCGTGAACAGTCGTGTCAAGATCTCAGTCTAAGTTGGTCTTGTGCTCACTGATGTGTAAGGATCCGTTGTAAGAGAATATGAATCAAGACCAGTGGCGTTAGTTCAGGTAGTGTATGTATCACAGTATGGTAGGACCTGGAGCCTTGCGAGAGCGGGGCGTCCGGGTGCGAGGGTTTTGTCGCAATTTCTTCCGGGTCCACATATGCCCAGATACGTCCATATCAGATGCTGTCAGGCTGATAAGGCACCGTATGGCGGATATGGGGTGATAAGTACCGGATAATGTTTTTTCGATGCACACAATGCAGCCAGAATCCTGACGGTCTTATACGGCCATGTCACTACAGGTAGGGCTGGACATGGAAAATTCGATTTTTCCGACATGTTCGTGTATTGCGTGCCGATTGAATGTTCTTCGCGCCGCCACCACCCGCGTTGGGCTCGATCCCGCGCGTGAGATGGTTGACTGTCGCCGCGAGTTTCAAAGTCGCTTCTGTCGTCATTCCGAATTTTCGGCGTGCGACGCGCGAGGCAGAGCGCGAGGCCGTAGTGGAGAGATGGTCAGACTGGAGTTCGGGGGACGACGCACATACCATTTCAGATACAATCCTGTGTCGCGTCAACGAATGCGGCATCCAGTGATTTGGGCATGCTGTTCATGACAGCCAGTGAACGACGTTTGTAGTCTTGGGAATCATGGTGTCCCTATAACCCGCTCATCAACAGCAGAACCTGGAAGTTATTCAGACATGCAGCACACCTATGCCCAGGGCCTCCGAGTAGCCACTCTCCGACTCGGACTCGTGCGCGTTGTGCCTGCACCCTTGGTATTGCCGCGCGTCGTATCTGACATTCGCCCGTCCTTACTCGTCCTCACTCATCTCATCCCCTCATCATCATCCGTCTCTGCCAGCCATTCGCCCTTCCCTGCTCACTTGCTCCCCGTCCGCGCCCGCCGTCTGTCCGCCCTCCCTGCTCGTAGCTACGTGTCGGAAAAATCGAATTTTCCATGTCCAGCCCTACCTGTAGTGACATGGCCGTATAAGACCGTCAGGATTCTGGCTGCATTGTGTGCATCGAAAAAACATTATCCGGTACTTATCACCCCATATCCGCCATACGGTGCCTTATCAGCCTGACAGCATCTGATATGGACGTATCTGGGCATATGTGGACCCGGAAGAAATTGCGACAAAACCCTCGCACCCGGACGCCCCGCTCTCGCAAGGCTCCAGGTCCTACCATACTGTGATACATACACTACCTGAACTAACGCCACTGGTCTTGATTCATATTCTCTTACAACGGATCCTTACACATCAGTGAGCACAAGACCAACTTAGACTGAGATCTTGACACGACTGTTCACGAAGTCAAGCGTCGCGTCGCGCCGTGGCACACGCATGTAATACACATGGGCGGATTGGGGGCCATAGACAAATTTTTGCATTCTGTGCAGCCTGCGGATCGTCACGTTCAAAGCTCCAACTGTGGCGGGGATAGTCAGGCAGACGAGCCGCCTTGGGTGGATCCTGTGGGGAAGTGATGATATGAACACAACCGTGATTACGCTGCCTGATCACAGCCTGATCACGACTTACCAGATCCCCCGCAGTGCCTTATAAGCCTTGACACGACTGTAAGGCTTCGCTAGGACTTACATGTCAGATGCACTTTTTCCGACACGTCCGGGCCCATGGTCCGCTCGTCGGCTACGCTTTACGGTGGGACTTTGCCCTGCATGCTCGCACGCCTCTGCGCACGCGTACGTCAGCCGTGCCTGCGTGCAGTAAGTGTTCGCCCATCGCGCTCGCGGTTGATGTGTGCGCTGTCGCCTGCGGGCTCTCCCACCCATCCACTCGCTTGCCTGTCCGATTGCCCGTCCACGCCTGCTCGCCCGCCTGCCCACTCGCTCCGCGCGCGTCCGTCGGCCGTGTCTGCGTGCTGGGCATTCGCCCGGTGCGCTCGCGGTCGGCGTGCGTATCGCGCTTCATGGCGCCACGGCGGCTGCGCCCTGCGCCTGCCACATTCTCCCATCCGTCCGATTCCTTCGCTGATGCACCCGTGGTCCGATCGTCGGCCGTGTTTGTGTGCTGGGCTTATGCCCTGCGCGTTCACGGTCAACGTGTGTTCTGCGTGTCCCGGACCTGCCGACCATACCCCACGCCCGTTCTTAGCCAGCTCGCTCGCGTGCAATAATGGCACTCACCTTCGCGTCGCATACGCATGCTGGGCACTTACCCTGCGTGCCCATCGTTCCGTCTCGGGCCTTCGATGCGCTTCACAGTGCCACTGTTGTCGCGCTCGTGGTGATGCTCGTACTGCACGCCTGAGCTCGAGCCAGGCCGTCGTGGATGAATATTGAGGGGGTGGTGCCCACGGCGAGAGAGGGAGAGGGTGGCAGTGGCAGATGCATGAGGCAACGCCGCGAGCGATTCGACGGTCCGCACAAGATCAAGCATGCTTCCAAACTTAGAGGGTTCGGCTAGGTCGAAGAGCGCAGCGAGTGGACTATGTACATGCCAGAGTGAGAAATTGAGCGCTGCACGTTCTAACAGTGGAGGAGTCGACAGTATTCGCGCAGCTAGGCTCGGGCAGCGCTCGGGCGTCCGTCTCTCAGCCAATCAGATGTCGTCTTTGTCTCAGCCGTTTGTCCCCCCCCCGTGTGAATATCTGACGCCTCTTGTAGTATAGATAGCACTGGGCAGACCACAGAGGGATCCATTACATTAATACAATTCGTTTAGTATACCGTCATGCGGCGACAGAGCTGCACGTAGTAATACATAGATGGCCCGTAAATTACATACTGTACCCAGACAACAAGGCTCAGACGGCAGCATTCGGAATAAGCTTCTCAAGATTATCCTTAGACTCCGGTGGAAGTCTCAGATCGGCAGCACTGGCTGTACCTTCCGATACTGTTCGCATTCCG